TTTTAAGAGTCCATATGTATAGCTAAAGGCTACATAACAAGCAACAATGCCAGACAGGCAATACCTTCTTTTGAGTTGTTGGTCTGGGTGGCCCAAGGGACTCCCAGATAGTAACCCAGCATAGAACTGGGAAAATAAACAGCAGAGCCCAATCTTATCTAAAGGAATATTGACAACTGACTAGTACTAGATGAGGAACAGCTGAACTTCCTAAAACAAAGACCTCTATATAGGCTGACTAGATTTATCAGATGGACAAGTATTGGGGTCAACTGGGGGTTCTGACAACCCAGTGGACAGTAGCAGGGATAACAGAGTATAAGGGCCCTAGTGGGGGGGGAGGCTATGGGAGGGTGCCATCTGGGAATTGGGTGTATAGCTGAATGAGTTGGTTTGGGATGTTCTGTGTGATACACACACACACACACACAAATCAACAAATTAAAGAATGTATTATATTTGAGGAAGAAGCATTAAAGTATACTTCATGTTAATTAGTAGAGGTGATAAATGTTACCATTGAAATCTACCCGATGACTTTATAGACATACACAGGTGCCAAGGATCCGAGTGAAAACGATTATGACTAGTAATAATTAGATACATATAGATTAGAGACACTTGAGACAACATCTCAGCGTTATTAGCAAAAACAATGAGTCTTTCTGTAAGAAACAGTATATTTTAGAATGAAATGGATATCTTTTCTGAGGGTTAAAAACTCATTCAACAGTGAACCTAGAAAGTTTATAGCCACTTTTGAAAGGAGCTGTGTCTTTGCTCTGGAAACTGTTATTGGGCATGTTAAAGCTTTAATGATATGCTTCTAAAAAAAAGAAAAAATGTTTAAAAAAAAAAGAAAAGTGTTATAATTACCAGATACGAAAACAAAGGGAATCACCAAATTCTTTTATTTATTTATTATTAATTAATATTTATTTATATATTTATTTATTTGTTTATTTTATTTATTTATTTATTATTTATTTACTTTTGGTCTTTCTGAGACAGAGTCTCCCTACAGCCCAAACTGGCCTGGAACTCACTATGTAAATCAGCCTGGCCTCAACCTTGATCTCACAGAGATCTACCTGTCTCTGCCTCCTGAGTGCTGAGATTAAAGGGACGTGCCACCATGCCTGGATGCTTTTAAATACAGAGCTCACTGTGTATCCGGAGCTCTTGGATCTCCTGTCATAGATGATTTAAACTTCAATTGCTGGACAGCGTGTCATCATTTAACAGGCCCTAGATAGTAAGTAGCACAGGCTCTAGAAGTACTGTGTGAGGAAATGACATCTCTTAAACTCTAGTTTCCACAGAGCAGAGGCAGTAATGAACTAAGTTTTGGTGAGTGAATGAGAAAATAAGGTGATGCTTTACAAAATGAGTATGTGAAGTTAGTTGGCTCATGAATTTGTAAGACTCCCTTATCATCTAGAATCATATTTTTGGATCATATCTTTTTTTTGATAGAAGTTAGTTCTGAAGTGTTCTTAATAGATTTTCAAGAAGAAACCCTAAGCTAGGCACAATGCGCATGGCGATGCAGCAGGATTTCCTCAGTGAACACGGCTCTCCTCTCAAGCCTCACAGCCATCACCCCAGTTCCTGCAGGTCCGTTTTTCTTACCGTTTTTTTCATCAGCCTCCCTCCCCCATCCACACTGTCCATCTTGAAGCACAACAAGACCCTCCTGATGGGCAGCTGCTCTCAGGCCTCCCACACAGGGCGCCAGAATATTCCCTCATGTGCTGTTCTCTGCAATTTGCTCTGGAATTAAGGCCCATTGTGTCCTGCAGGATCCAAATCAATCTCTGGTGTGGCTCACAGCCTTACGCAGATGAAGTTCTGGTGATGACTATGAGCCCTGTTTAATACTGAACACTAGGTCACCATGACTATGCAGTGCTTCTTCACAGACCACTTTACATACCACCTTGAGGGGCAGGGGCTGCATAGGAGTACCACAGTGCTGTAGGATGCCCAGCCTCTATTTTCACCTGTCCTCTGAACTCAGTGCCCCAAACCCTACTTACTTTTTCAAAGACAGGCAAGTAACAGTTTTTGGTCTTGTCTTTTATCAAGGCAATCTTTGCGTCTTTTTGGTCTGGAGGACATAGTACCAGTTGTGAAATCATTTCACTCAGATCAATAATACCTTCTGTATACATGTCAATCCTGAAAGATGAAATTATCCAAAAGGTCAGATTTTTCCTATTTCCTATTTTAACCTGAAAACCTGAGAAAATTATAATGAAAAGTGTTTGCAAAAATTCATCTCTTTTTATAATTAGTCCTTATCTTGTATATTTAACATACATATTGCATATACTACACACACACACACACACACACACACACACACAGTGACAAGAACAACCTATCAGTGCAGATACATGTTTTAACTTTTTGTTATACATTTCACTCACACAAGTATAGAGAGCATTGGTAACCATCAATCCTACAAACAGGATTTTTCTCTTTCAACTGTTTGTTCTTGACAGACATATAGTGATTCTCATAGCTAACAAGTTGCCTCCTGTGTAAGCTCAATACAAAGCTCATTTTGAGCCATTCAACATGACTCTGCTCTCTCATCCTGCGCAGCCCAGGGTTGTTTCCTAGTTCAGTGTTAGAAGTTCTCCCCATTATTTCTCGTGAAACACATTTGCTTGACCTCCGCAGGCTGCTCTCCAAGACCTGTCCATAGTTGGTGCAATGCAGTTATTCAGTTACAAGCACGGCATACTTTAGGAGACATACATTCCATTTTCAATCCCTGCTTGACAATACTACAATTCTTTCAACTAGAGACGTACTGTCATATTTTCACACACCATCATTGTTTGCCTTTAAAAAGATAATTGTATGTAGTATATTTGCAGAATTCTACAAATATTAACCTTCTCTAATTTCAGAAGACTTTAATCATTTCACCCTTGCCCCCCGCTCCCCCAAATCGTGCCTGCTGTGGCAGTTACACCCCATGTCTCCTTCCTGCCCAAGGAAAGAACTGATCTACTTCCTGCTCTGTTACATGAAAGTTGAGAACATTTCATATGAAAAAACCATAGGTAGGTGACCTTTGCACCTGGTTTCCTCTATATGACGTCTTCACAGCTGACCCTCTTTTGCACCCATCACTACTTCATCTGCTTCATGTCTAAAAGTCTCCTGCTATCTGGCTATAGCATATCGTGTTTCTCTTTCCATCTATTACTGAGCATTTGGGCTGATTCCACCTTCAGAAAATTGCAAAAACTGCTGCTAAGAACCTTTCTATAGAGTATTATTAATTCCTGGGCCTTAGTGGCACCTTCCTTAAACCTCCTGGTCTGTGAGTGCAAAGTGGAGGCTACAGGAGCAGGAATCAGGAATGCGCTGGGACAAGGTGTTGGACTGTATAGTACTGTTGATAATTCATCTTAGTGGATCTGGAGCTTCACTGATTGCTGAGACCCCTTCTGACAGCTGCCTTGCTTACAACCACAACAGTCCCTGTTGACCCTTTGCCCAGGACCTATTGCAATCTGGACTAGTTCTCTTCTCACTTGGGGCCAAGTGTAACCTGTGTACAATAAACCATCTCTTTTGCTGTCTCAGCTCAAGAATAAAAAAAAATTCCCGTTTCGATGGGTATATAGTCCCAGGACCAGAACTTCTGGCTAACATCTGGTTTAGATCTTCAAGGGACTACTAACACTCACATGCAGCTTATTTTCAATGAAGTAATTCCACCACAAAAAGGTGGATCCTTCAGCTTGGGTGGTACAGAGTCAGCCTGACTGCTCTAGTCCTGCATGAAATGCTTCAGATGACCCTGCTACCTTGAACACCAGCCTCTCTAAGCCTCGTAGAGTTGACCAGTCCAGAGAACTAATGAACAATTTAGACTCACCATCCTCTCTAGTATTACTTCTGGAACTTGGCGAGCAGCTCCCTTTATCCTTCATTTCTTGGCTTCTCTGTCCTCAAACCCTGTGTTTTTTTTGTCCTAAGGTACTGACTGAAGTCCAGGTGCTGAAGCACCTGAAATATGATTCTGCCATGCTCATCATGGCCCATCAGTGTTTGGAACTCTGTCCTTGTGCTGTGTGGGAACATCCTCTGCTATAACCACACTCACCCGAATCCACTTCATCATCTCCATCTGACTCCACCATACTTGGCCTAAGTGTTTATGCCCAGGACCAGCCTGGTGCTGGCCATGAACCCCTACCACAATCTTGCTCATTCAATAATGGACCCAAGTCCTTGCTGCATATGTGTTGGAATAATAACATAAAATACAGCGTACAGGGCTCTCTCCTTCATGTCCTTCCCGTAGAGGTTGTATTTGGTAGCAATGTAGTTGAGAATGGCTCTGGTCTGCACCAGCTTCATCCCGTCAATCTCCACCATGGGGATTTGCTGGAACACCAAACTCCCGTCTTTGGAAGGAAAAAAGAAAAAAAGATCTGTAAAATGTTTGAGTCCCACTTCTCACTAGTAGAGAATTTTGTTGAAATGACTAAATATACAAAGGCAAGAAAAATGATTTCCTGGCAGACGTTCACATGAAATAGCATTTTATTTTTAGATTTCTGTTTCTTGTCATATCTAACTTCTTTTGGCTTTGTAGCTTATTTCATTCATCTTTTATTTCCCATTCAGATACATATTGTATCTCCTATGTATATTGTTATGTTTAATTCATCTTCTTGGAAGGTTAAGAGGGATTTAACAGGGCCACCAGGCAAACATAGTTAAGTAGATAGTTTCCAAAGTCTTATGGTGTTCATGGCATTAAAGTGTGTTACAGGAGAGGTTTCTATGTACAGGGCCCATTCTGCATTCTTTCATCATGAATTAACAGTGTCATGGTAACTCATAAGCCATAAATGAAAATGCTCAAGATAATTGCTCCAGCTATTTCTCTCAAATGACTTACTGCATGGTCATATATTTGTGTGGATGGAGAGCAGTGTGAGACACCCAGAGTGAGTCAGCTTGCTCTGGTTCAAAATCCTAAAAGAGCTTTCCCAAAGCACCGGATAAATGCTCAGAGATCTAGTCCTTTTTTAGCATTTTCTGAGTTGTCAGACCACTCGGGGAGCTGCACCACTGACATCACATCACTCTACACTTCTTGACTATTCACAAAAATTACACCCTAGCAATATGTAGCCATCATCTTGTCTTAAAACCCTCTTCTAGATTGAGTATATTCAGATAATATTTTTTACCATTTTTAATCTTTTCCCAGGCTTCTGGAGTTTCTATAAACTTCTCTTCAAACTGGAAACAGAAAAAAATCAGTTCATTCTCATTAGTTCATTCCATATCATGGTAGTCCTTTGAACTTGTCGCTGTTTGCTAGTTAATGTACAGAGGTTAACCCTTCTTAGTGTGGAAGTGGATTCAAAGGAGTCGGACCATGGTCACTTGGAAACATAGATGAGATCTGTCAATAAAACGGTGTTGGTCACAATGCACAGCAGCCCGTTCTTATCTGTGACTCCACCATTGTCCATGGTTAGATCATAATATGCAAGTGAAATAATAGCAGGCAAGCATCCGGAATTTGGCTTTTGATGTTTTAGGATCTCAGGAAAGCCTGCTATCTCCAGTGAGAATAGAATAGAACTTTCTGTGTCTCCACCAAGGGGTATAACATGGGCCAATGAGCATCTATGTTTCTTTATGAAGATTTATTTTTATTATTTTTAATTATGTGTGTGTTTCTTTGTGTGGGATTGTAAATGTGAGTACCCATGGAGGTCAGCAGCTGTGGAGGCCAGAGCTTATTCAACCTCTTGAAGTTGAATATACAGGCAGTTTGAGGCTGCCTTATTGGGTGTTGGGCACCAAACTCAGGTCTACTATAAGAATACTATGTGATTTAAGCCACTGAACCATCTCTCCAGCTCCTCATCTAAGTTTTTTTTCATTTAAATTTTCTTTATTTTTATTATTATTT